CTTACAAATCCATTAAAGTTACAAATGTCATAAATTATCTTAAACGCTTCCATTCTTTTTACAGTCTGAATCCAATTCTCAAATCTTTCAACTTAAAAAATCTCATCAGAAATCAGTACTCATTTAAAACCAAAGTCACGAGACCATTTTTCAGATTCTCTAATATGCCATATATTCTTTTAAATGTTATAAATATACAGAGATTATCCTAATTATCAGAAAACTTTCATCCTAAACTTAAGTATTAATATTATGATTAACTTCATCTATCTTCATCTTTTCAAACCTTTCCCTGGATTTAAAGTAACTTATTTCCAACTAAGGATAGTAGGCTTATCATCTCACGTGGGCCCAGGGACATCATATGGTTTTTCTCAGTCAGGTTCAAGACCATGATACAGGAATGGTCAACTCATATTCCAGAATGACTGCTTCAGCACTGTAGCTGAATACTCTGTAGTTCTTTCTGCTATGTCATCGGGGTCCCTTGAGCCTCTGAGCTGGAATTCCATTTCACCACACAGTAAACACAGATCCTCTGGGTTTCTTTCAAGTTTCAGTCGTAATCAGTTTTTGTAACCTCTTTCAACATTTATCACCCGACTTGGGTCAATGGACTTTTGTACCCCATCCCAGGTTGTACCTAATTTCCTTTGCTACTTGAATGGATTCAACTAATATCCTTGCCGCCTGAATAAATTCCGCATGCTTTCCACATTTTTCCTGTCTGACTCTCAGCCACACATGTCTGGAGTCATTTTACAAACAAACTGCAATTCCCTATTATTTAGCACAAGTATACCTAGTGACAAAAACCTAAAAAAAAAAACAGTTTTGAGCAAAGGAACAGAATGGATTAGTTCTCACAGTTTGGTCTCCCAGGTCCTCTGGCTTTAAAGGAAGTTGAGCGTACAGGAGCTCTACTTCCCTCTGTGCTGGCTGCCTTCTGGGGCAGCTGAGGACAAAGTGACTGCTGGCAGCTCCAGGCTTCAATCGTATTTTTTCCAGAGTTGTATTTTCACTCTTCTCAGTATCTCCTGTGTGGTCATATACGTTTGGGAAGTGCTATCTTAGGCAAAGTTAAAGGGATCAGATCGTTTCAGGATTTCACAGTCATTAAGATGTGCACGTACAATGTGAATCTCTAAGAGGGGCACAGAAGAGCCAGCCCACCCCACAGTCCCTTGTTAGGGCAGCGCCATTATCACAGCATCTCAGGGAACTGATGTTCCTTAGAATACCTCATTCCCAAGATGACTCATTGACCTCATCTTGGTGGCAAATGACCATTTAGCCCCCAAATTTGGGGGCAAAGACAAGTTAGAACTAAGTGATTATATACCTGGATATACTTGCCGGTGTCCCAAAAGATCCAGAAGTGAAGGAGACATGACTGGTTTTCTGAGTTACGGAGATGGCTTTAGTTTCTGTCACACAGGGAGCTCTTACTCAGCATGGGCTTACATTAGTGTCACTGCCCCTTCATCATCATCACTGGTTTCCCTCATTCCCACTCTTCTATGGGGTAGACCACTGGCTCCTCCCCTTCTGGGCCAGCTCAATTAAACTCAGGATAAGCCTCACGATGCTCTGGGCACTGCAGGGGGAGAATCATGTGTGCCACGAGGGCCCCGTGCCCCACTGGAATAATATCCTGGTGTTGAAAGGCCACAGGGGAAGAGCAGATACAATTTCAAAGCAAAAATCTGGAACCTGGATTCATAGGCATCTGTTACTGACTTCCCCCCTTCCTCCCGCTGGCCACACTCTTCACATCAGTCTTCTTTCTTTTTCACCGGATTATAGGAAATTTTAGCTACCTTAAATTCCAAACTCCTTAGAGCTGATGGAATTCAAGACTCAAGGGCTTTTCTTTGAATTGTGAGAGCAGATTTGAGTCCGTTTCCATTCTGTCATGCTTCCCCCAGCAGAACCTTATATGATTATTACTATCCCAAGTGTTATCATCCACATGTCACCCTCAAGGGAATGGAGGCACAGAAGTTTTGACTTGTCGAAGAATGAAGTCATGAGGAAACTGAACTCTGAATCTACTGCTGGTGGTGACTTTGCAACAGAATCTGCCCTCTCTCTCTCCCACACATGAGTTCAGTCAGAGGCATTTAATAAGCACATACTGTGTGCCTGGAGATGGAGGAGAGGTGGCCCGCAGAGTGAGGATGACACTGCCGCAGCACCACCTACAGGTAGTGGAAGGGGAAAAGGTAGGCTTTGGGGTCAGATAGTGTTTCACTCCGGGCTCGGCCATGCTTTTGCAGAGCAACCTTTTGCACGATAATTCTCACAGCCTCAGTGCCCTCGTTATGGAGCAGGGCCACTTACCAGTGTGTAGGAGAGTTGGTGAGAATACATGCAAATGTCGAAGAGTTGACACATGGCAGGTTCTCAGTGAATGGACATTGCTGTTATAGGCAGCATGATATAGGCTAGAAGGAACACATGTTCTGATATTGGACAATTATGCATTTTAAATCTAATTCCAACAGTGACCGAAAAACACTGGTCAGGATCCTTGTCCTTTCAGCCTTGATTTCTTCATCTATAAAATGAGGAAGATAATAGGTACTTCGCAGGTGTGATGTGAGGACTGGAGAAATATATATGTAAAGTACCTGGCATGACACCTGACGTGCGAGGTGCACATAGGTGCTGTCACCAGGCAGGCCCCTGCATATGTTTGGAAGGTAAGGCAGACCTTTCTATAGGAAATAACTAGAAAATTGAGTATTGAGTGTTTAGAAAGGAGTCCAAATGTATGAGACCATGTGGGAATTCAGAGTAAGGGGTGGTTAGGGTGGGCATAAGTCCCTCTGGCCCATTGGCCATGACCTAGGCAGAGTTGGTAGCAGCTTGAACCGCAGGGTGGCAGGACAGGTGGAGAGGTGTGCACATTTCACAAATAGAGATGGTGGGACCAGATGGTAGATTAAATGTCTTTGGAGAAGACCTCAAAGGAGGATTTAGAACCAGGTGGAGGCCAGGATCCTGTGACTTCATCCACAGTAAACCCCTTTCTGAGCCCTCAGGTTTCCTGCCGTCATCCTCCCTACTTGGGAACCACGGTCACACATTTCCCCTGCATTTCTGTGGGACCCTCCAGGTGGGCTTTTGGAAGACAGATAGGAGTACTGAGGGGAAAGGTGATGAAAATGGGTTTTCACTCTGCCTTTGTCATTCTGCCTGATCCACATTGCTCAGGCGGGTGGTTTATAAGCTGGTGACGTGAACTAGAACTTGTTTTGAGTTGCTAGGGGTGGGATTGGGGTACTCGGCCACTCGACATTTCTGAAGCATCAGGCCGATTCTTCGTAGGCCTTTCCTCAAGACACAGTGGAGGGCTGAGTGGCGGGGTAATGGGATTAAGACAGTGCTTTGTTATCAGACAGCCCCAGGGGTAGGGACTGGCCCTGCCGGTCCTGCTGTGGTCTCCTAAGCCTTCGTCTTCTTCTGCGAAGTGGGCCATGGAATGTTTGCGTGTGCACTGAAAAGTAACATAATGGAATGCCATCTGGTGTCACAGTAAAGAGGATGGCTCTGAAGTCGGAATGGCTGGATCCATATCCTGCTCCACTTCTCACTAGTGGTCTGGACTTTCTAAGCCTCAGTTTCTTTACCTATACAATAGAAAAACAGTAGTACTTACATATTTCCACTAGCTCAAGTTGAACATTGTTGGAAGCTTACTTTATAGCCCCATGAGTTAAAATCAGCAAGTATTTATTGAGTACCTGCTTTGTACCTGCCGCCCTGCAGCCAAAAGAGAAAATGCAACAGGCTTGATGGGTAGTGGAGGGGTGGGGGCACTGAACATAGAAGGACCGAGAAGGCCTTTCTGAGGAGGTGACACTTTAGATGAGGAGGAGGCACGGACAAGTGTCCAGGAAGAGGGACAACAAATGGAAAGCCTCGAACATAAGGACCTTGTTGGCTTAGAAGAAACAGAAGCCCATGTAACCAGAGCCAATGAGCAATGGAGAGGCGGGCGAAAGACAGGACTGAAGAGGGAGGCCAGATCAGAGGGTCCTGAGGGCCAGAGTAAGGACTTAGGGTTGTAAGTACTTGAGAAGCCACTGGAGAATATTAAGCAGTGGAGCAGCAGGATCTGATTTATGTTTTAGATATGGCTGCTGTGGGGAGAAGGGACTGTTAGGGGGCAGAAGTGGAGCGTGGAGTTCAGCTGGTCTATTGGCCATGACCCAGGCAGAGTTGGTAGCAGCTTGAACCGCGGGGTGGCAGGAGAGGTAGAGCGGTGTGCTCATTTCACCAATAGAGACCGTAGGACCAGAAGGTGGATTACGTGTCTTGATAGTGTTGAGAGGGGGAAGATGATAAGGAGGAAGAAGAAGAATCATTGCCTGGAGACTTGAATCGAGCAGTGGTGAGGGGCAGGGAGGTCCCAACGGATTTGAGAGTTGGGAAATGAAGAATTCTATTTTGAATGTATCCTGGGAAATTATTAGACTTAGAG